GATGCCTCCAGCAAATGAAGCAACTTTGAAACGAACTGGTTGAGTTTGTGGTTGAGCAGCAATGTCTGGGCAAGAAGCCTGGGCTGCTGCTTGCACTGATGAAAATAGGACTGGCTGAGGTGGAGTCTAGAGAAGCAGCTCAAGTGTGCTTGTTTCTCCATGTACATTTCTCTGTTGTTGGACCAGCCCTACAGATCTGACAGCTTTTTGCTAGTAGCATGTGGAGGAGGTTCTAAGTCACAAGGTGAGATGACAGCACTGGCTGCAGGGGCAAAGGCTGGGAGCTGCTGTGGGTTAATAAAGAGCAAACAAGAGTCTGAGATATAGGATGATTTGCAAAGAGAAGCAGAATTAAAACATTTGTTCAGAGGTTGAGGGTTTCCTAATAGCAGAGTCAGTCAAAACTAGAGGTGGAGCAGCTCAGAAGCTGCTGGGTTAAAGGCAAACCTAGAAGTACATAATGGTGGAAAGAGTAAGAACTGATTTACAATTTAAGCATAACCTCAACTGAAAAAGAGGGTACAAGATGGTCACTGAAAGCCCTATGAAGCTGAGGGAGGTACCAGATACCCCCACAACAGTGTCCAGAATTCGTTGCCTTTGTTAGACACCTGCATCTGCCTCATCCCTTGCTTCACTTGCTCTGGAATATTTTCTGAGTAATAAAGGATTTAGATGAGTTAAATAACACCCAGATAAACAATATAGGCAAGAGGACCCCAGAAGTGCCAGTAACTGGACTGCTTAAAGTCACTTTGTCTGTCCAAGTCTGTATTTGACAGACCACATCTCACAGCAAAGGCACATAAACTCACCCCAGACTCCTCAGACCAATGTTGTGGTGCAAGTGCTTGGAAACCACCTGATAGAAACCATAACCTTGCTGCTGCTTCTGCAGCATTTGGGACAGAAAAGCAGAGTAGTACAAGAAGGGAGTTACAGAAATCTCTGGAAGAATGGTATAGAGACAGTGAAATATGACCTTTCTTTAACTAGATTTCTTGCTTCTGATTCATCTGAAACCAAATCTCTTTGACATGTAGGGTCAGGATGACCTATCTATCCATCACTGGATTCACATCCTGAGCTGTGCTGAATAAATTGAGTACGTACGACTCTTGTCATGGGAGACCTACCACATCTGTTTGTGCTTCCTCTTCTTAGAAACCTCCTCTGTAATTTAGAAACCCTGGAAAATACTGGAATTTATTCCCAGTTATGAGGTGGGGGGGAGAAAAATTGTCAGACAAAATAACTGAATTTGTGGATTTAGTTCCTCCTCCCACATGAAAATATCTCCTGGATGATGCTTAGGACTTGAACCAAGATGTTATTTGCATCTTCCCCATCCCTTTGTTTCTTCAGCCAAAGTAAAGGAAAACCCACCATGACAATTTGATACTTAGTAAGAAAGAAGAAACCCATGGCAGTGTCACTGATTCTGAAAACAAGCATGAGCCAGAGGAAATACAGGAGAAAAGGGAATATCCATGTCAAAGGCTGAATTCAGGCAAGCTTTGCTCACTCCAGTCCAGGTCGCTGCAGTCACCAGCTACAGCACTGAGTCTTTGTTCCAGTCTGCACTGGAACTGTGCTCTCTGGCTACATTCAAAATAACTCCCTAGAATGTGGAAAAATGCCTAGCTCTAAAGTGGAATAGGAACCAGGTCACACTTACCAGGGCTTCTGCATTTGAATACACAGAAAAATCACTACAGGGCAGTGTGATCTGACACCACCAGCTCCTGCACACAGGCCCAGGGGGATTCAGTACGAGCTTGCAGTATGCTGTAAACAACTCTAGTTTCCATATTTCCCAATAGGACTGCTAATTTAATAAAAACATGAACTCATAAAGGAATACTAAGTCACTCTTCAATCATATATACCTGTTTTCATAAACCACTCTTCCTTTATATATATTAGGGCTTGAATTCCATTCAGAAGAGCAATGTAACACATTACAGCTTTACTCACTATGGATGATTGCTGTCACTCTTTTTTTCCTTGTTCTCCACATGCCTTCCCCTACACTGCAGCCTCCTATTCACAAAAAACAAAAGTGCAAGAGTTCAGCTGGTTTAAGGAGCATGATTTTCTTCCCCCCCCCCACTAGAGACACATCAATCCCTGCCGTGATAAGCACAGAAAGGAAAACAGCATCTTGCAGTAGACAAACAAACCTTGCAACAAGGAGAATCTAACCCAAACTTATGGTGTTAAACCTGGTGAGTTGGGTTTGAGTAGTCATAAACAACTCCCACCTTCAATTTTAGCAGCAGCCATTCTGTAAAATGTGAAGAAAAAAGACTGAAAGCAACAGGATGGAGACAGGTCTAAGGTAACAGGGATCAGAAGCTCCAACTTGTCACTTGTAACACGCAGCTTTCCCTGCAGCTTCTGCACACATTAATTAACCTTACAGAGAGAAGGCTGAAATCAATGCAGTGTTTCAGTGGAGAAACACTGATTTTTAGCAGGAAAGACTGGTTGTTCAGTCATGTGACTGCAGGAAAAGGCTTTCCTTAATTCAAAAATACTTCACAGAACAGCTGATCAAGAGTACTGAGGAGAGGTGAGGACATGAGCTTTGTGTTCATGACCACCACAGGACTACAGAAATTATCAATATCTTTTGAGACCAAAAGGCCAGGTACTATTTTAATTTCCTACCATCTGTTTTTAAGGTTTTATTGTGTTTTATACCACGAGTCAGACCTGAAACCCCACAAGAACATATCACAATAGATTTCCTATTTAAGACATTCACTAAAACCGAAATTCTATGAATAGAGTTAACATGACAAGTCTATAAATAGAAATAAAGCTACCAAGCCACTGCTATGGAAATCAGATTTATAAACCTCCAATTAGTTTCAGAGCTCCTATAGGCTAAACCTTTTCTATAAGTAAAAAATTTCTTGGCTTAAGGCCCACATGCATTACTAGCTGGTGCTCTTGTTGCTGCAGAGCTGATGTTGGGACAGGTTTTGCAAAGGAGGGGGGAGCACCAGCTGCCAAGATGAGATGCAGATGTGACACAGTGATCTCAATCCTGGTGTCAATGTGCTGAGTCTCTTTACTCTCATTATGCAGCAGCCTCTCTGAAAAGCACCTGCTGCACAGAGGGAGAAGTTAAAGGCTTCACAGACTCATCCAAAAGTGTAATAGAAACAGACCCCAGATAACACTGTAGCTTTAAAATCAAATGCTTTCTTACTAGAGGTTAGAGAAAATGTATGTCTATCAAGTGCTAACTTCATTTCAAGTATGAAAACCCCAGAAAATTATTCACTTTGCCCTGTGCAGGCAGTAGTTTCTCTAGTTACCAGAAGCATACCAGGGAGTGGTAGGAGATAACCTTCATCACCTCACAGGGGATCCCTGTAACAGCCACAGCTCAGCCATGTTTCACCAACATCCAGCACAACACCCCACTGCTGTAGGCACAGCAGCAGCCTATATTAAACTGCTAGCATCATCTGTTGGTGGAACTCCAAAACTGCAAGCAATTCTTTATAAGTAAACAAACAGCTAGGAAAAGACCTGCAATTGTCTGGTGAAAACTGCACTTTTTCAATTAGTCATGGATTTATTATATGCACTACTTAAAAGGGAAAGCAGGAGTACTTCATATGAAAAGCTTTCTAATGCATAAGCTGAATTTGTAGTCTTTTGTCACTTAAAAACTCTGCCAATTTTTGTACTCTTAAGCAATTGCATTAAAGGCACTATCAACACTAACTGGTGTTCACGCCAATGCCAAAATCCCAGCAGTGTAACAGAGGAAGAGATGCAGCACTTACACTTCAGGCTGGTTTTGGGGGGGGTGTTGTTGTTTGTTTGGTTTGTTGTGGTTTTTTTAAATACTTCATATGAAAACCAAAGCATCAAGGAATTCTACGCCAAAGCAAAGATTAAAAGCAATTTCAGCAAGACTAGGAAACCTACATGGAAAATAACATCCTCACCCGTTTATTGTTGATTTTGCCACTTGGTAACGCGGCTGTTTTGAACTCAGTGTGATACAGTTTAAGTTTTGCAGGAAAAAAAAAAAAAAAGAAAAAAAAAAAAAAAGAAAAAAAAAAAAAAAGAAAAAAAAAAAAAAAGAAAAAAAAAAAAAAAGAAAAAAAAAAAAAAAGAAAAAAAAAAAAAAAGAAAAAAAAAAAAAAAGAAAAAAAAAAAAAAAGAAAAAAAAAAAAAAAGAAAAAAAAAAAAAAAGAAAAAAAAAAAAAAAGAAAAAAAAAAAAAAAGAAAAAAAAAAAAAAAGAAAAAAAAAAAAAAAGAAAAAAAAAAAAAAAGAAAAAAAAAAAAAAAGAAAAAAAAAAAAAAAGAAAAAAAAAAAAAAAGAAAAAGAAAAAAATCACACACCTGTATTTCTCACATGTATCAAACACAATTAAAGTTTAAAATTTGTGTGCCTTGACTTGCTCCTCTTAATGTCTCTTTAGGGATGTCCATGGTCACTGATCCAAAAGAGTCCAGCTCAAGTCTCCCAAGTCAGGTGCCATACAAATTCCAAAGGTGTTGATTTCTCCCAGATGGTCTTCTCTGTAGTGCATTGTGCTAGTGCATTCAACCAGTGTGTCAGTATTCAACCACATCAGCTTGGGGTTGCTTTTTAAAACTACACAATACAGAAATATAATTTTACATGTAGCTTTGCATGCCTTGTGGCTGCTTGCCCTACTATAGGACAGTGCAATAAATACAAATATATGCACACTAGAAAATATTTCACTGCCATGATCTACATCTCTCTTATGAGTACAAATTTACCTAGTCAACAATATGACAAATTTAGCAGAAAAAGTGGCAATGGCAGTAATATTCTACTACAAAAACAAGGCTAAGAAGCAAAGTGTTCTCAAGCTACAGGAAACTTCCTACCTCCTAATATATGATATAGGGCCCAGTTCTGCCAAGTGCAGAGTCATGATCAGTAGATTGCATCAGAACATGCTTCTCCTCCATTTAACAATGAATACTTCTACAATTTATTTGGTTTTGATAACTGTTTATAAATAGCACACTATAATGACTATTAAACCATACAGCAACATGACGTTTATAGCCTAATCCTGAATACAAAGTTCAAAGAACATGACTACAAAGGCCAGAGAGCAAATGTCATTGACTAAAAGCATTTCCACTTCAGAATTTATTGAGTGTCCTCTTACACAAACACTTCTCGATGGTAAAACCAGAGGAACAGGATTTTCCTATTCTCTCTCTGCTCCAATAGTAATTGAGCCACTCATCACCCTTATAAATTAGTGATGGATTTTAACAGGAAGCCCCTTGGGGCTATATATTTTATATACTTTATATATATGCACATTTACTTTGAATTATATGTAAAAGTTGAAAAAATGTTTGAAAGAAAAAACTCAGAATATATCACAGCTTTTTCAGCAAAAAAAATACAAATTAGTTTTATAACCACTATTCAGTTTATCAAACCTTTTTTTTCTGAAGTATTTACCTTTAATTATGTACACATTACAGGAAATAAAACTTTTTCCACAAACATTCTCTAAGGTGACAGTTATCAATACAATGATAGAATCATAGCAGGAATAATATTAAACAAATGGGGGTGATCAATTTCTGCTTTTAAAAAGTAAAAAGTCACCATATAATTAAGTACAAAATCCTGCATTGAATGACAACTGCTGGTGTAGTAACTTGATCAGGTATGGAGACCAAGAGTATAGTAAAGCCCTATGGTAATAATATTTCTGTAGCATTCCACTTGGTATGTATATACTAAATGTTGGCAAAGTTTCTGTAGCATTAGCTTATACAAACACAGGAGTCCTCAGTCTGCTGCATCAAAGGGAACAAGTGTGTTTTAATTCTCCTGAAATGCACCTGAAATCCAGAGTGTCACTTACAAACTGCATAATGAAACTCTTCTTCAGAAAAATATTTGTTTGGCATCTCCAGGGCTCTGTTCCATTGGACAATAGGGGCATTTTAATCTGGGGGACAAAGACAACACGTTACAATTGTGGCAATGTGGACAACTGAGCATTAAGCTTTCTAATCCATTACAAAAGAGTTTGCAGTCACAGTCCTTCCTCTTTTTTTTTTCCCCAGAAATGTACTCTTCAAGTCACAATGCTTTACTTGGCTCCAATAAAAGTCACCTTTTTTGAGAGAGAGATTATCACGCTTTTTCTTCTCATTATATTCTCTCTCACCCACACACCCCTGAATTATTAAATACCAAAAATGGTATTTTTCATTGCCATGAAATTACTCTTCATGATCTATTATTTCAACTTCTAGATTAGTTTGTTGCATTTTAGTAATCTTAAATACACTGGATGGAACCTTTCACTTAGACTTCCTCAAAACCCAGTATGCTTTTCTCTCTGGCTCCCAAATGCTGTGATTTTACAGCCCACCTAGATCAGCTCCTGCAGGCTGTGGTTAAAGAGGTCAGCCTGGCCTCCCTGCTGAGGTCTCCACCAATACAATTCCACCTGCTTACAATGTTACTTCTAGCATCGATCCATTTTTTCCCCCATCTCTACATTTGAGCCTTTTACCACGTCATTCCCCTGCCCTGCCCCAAGCTAATATTGTCAGAGCTGTTCAGGCACTAAAGCTGATCCATGAAAGCATCAGGAATTAGTCATCAGGGGCAGGGATAATGTGGCAGCAAGTTCACAGGCTTAAAATGGCTGAAGCCTCCCATGCAGGCACACCTTTAGGCTTTCCTAACAGGGCAAAGAATGCAAACATCATTCCACATTTTCATTCAAAGCATCCCTTATTTTCACAGGGATTCACAAAACAGCTTCCAGCTCTACATTAAGCTGACAGCCTCCATGGAAGCTGCATGGATTTAATCCAAGTTACCACTCGTTCCTCCTCAAGGAAATCTCTATAGCTCTCTCCCTCCCATAACCCTGTAGGCACCCCACTGGTATCTAAGGAGGAGTATTTCCACAACATTAATTCAACTGCCTGCTCAATTACTGAAACACTTTCCCCCAGAGATTGAATTTTCATTTTTTAAGGATGTTTAATCCATGACTAACCTTGCTCCCAACAAAAAACTGGGTGTGTAAAAGCCTCCATTTTTAATTTAAGACAACACAACAGTATGCACCACCAGGAAAAATACTCTGCTCATTGCATTCCTTCACATAATCTCAATTCCTACAACACCAGAGGGTTTACTAAATTTTTTTTTCCAGCACATCAACCTGGCTTATCTGGCTTCTAAGTCAATTCTCTAAGATTAACAAGCTTCCACCAATTATGTGATTATGGATTTAGTTTTCCCAAAACACAGTATCCTAGTCTTAAGATTTATCCTCATCTATATGTTGCTTGACAGAAAAGAATTGTACTTACTTGCTGCCATTAAACATTTTATTCAAAGCATCTCTTGATATAATATGACCACAGACTAATTTCATAGGTGGGTTATTATCTGTTGTTTGCTGACGAAGAATAGGACAGGCAAATATTGAATGATACCAGCACTTTTTACCAAGGTCCACTTCAATCTGTGAAAGAAATTAACATTACAATTTATCACAGGAAACTGCATTTCCAGACAATTATCTCCTTAGGTCATTACTCTTACTTAACAGATTTCATACTTCAGCTGTGAAGGCAGCAAAATCCTTTGTGTGGATGCCTGACAATTCACCAGCCAAAAGTACTTAATTGTGATCTTAGAATGATGATTTATATTGCTCCTCCTCACTCTCCACATGCACAGTGTTCTGCCAAGGGACAAGTGTGTGTTTCAGTGCTGATCTATGCTTTGGCAGAAAAACTGAGCTGATGACCCAAGACTTTCTGTATTTCCTACCCAATGATTTTTCCAAAGTGATTTAGATCCAATTTAAAACGAGGGGGCAAGGGAATAAAAAAAGAAGAAAAAACCCTTGGATTTATTACATTCATGTTCTACAGCTTCCTGAAAGATCCTTCCAACATCTGCATGCCATATCAGTAATGAAGTCCATGAGAATCCTTTGCTTTCAGTACCAACACAGCAGACACTGGTACAGTACAGCTGTTGCCACCAGGACCAAATGATTTCAGAAAGGGACATGTCAGAGAGAAGAGTAGGTCCATGACTTCAGCAATCTAATGAGGGCTGCAAAAATCACAACCTCTGTACCCAAAGCTCCTGTCTCTGACCAGTCCTCAGTTCTGACAAGTTTAACCTTCAACAAAATCTGATAATATAACCTTTTCACACTGCTTAATCTCTGTCTCTACATGATGAAAATAAGGTTTCCCATCCTCATACTGCCTTAGCAGTCCACACTGGTGACCCTTAAATTTACAATATGCAAGGAGGCACATAAATACTCTTAACTGATCCACATCTGACAGCAATCTTTTCCCAAGTGCTCCCTAGCTAATAATTCCTGTCTGGACAGCAGGGCATGAATCTGTCACACTTGGAGGTTATAGCCTCTGTGTTACAGAAAACACAGCTGGAAGAAACTCAGAACATGTATTTACACCATAAATACATCTCTTACAGCTATAAAGAGGTTAACTCAGTTCATGCCCAGTTTGCACAAAATAGGTTTTTGTTCCAAATCAGGAGCAGGCCACTGGAGAGCTGCACACACCTGGTAAGAGCTATAAAGGGAAACTGGGGTTTCATAACAAGAGAACTTCATACCAACTGGTATAAATGAGTTGCACTGGATCCTAAATTCAATTCCCATCTCCCCAAATGTAGCACTACTTCTTCCATCTCCTATCTGCCTGATAAAAGTTACTGCAAAGAAATTTATGGACAGAGCTCAAACATAGCCGGGAAAGTTACTGTTTCTCAGTGGGATGCATTTCCTTTCCAGTTCACTGAAACATCTCATACATTTGGTGTAAGGTTAAGTGGAAGGTGAGAGTGTCTGTCTTGTTAAGGCCATTTCATCAAAGACCTTTTCAATGAGAAAAACAAGTAAACAGGAGAGCAACAAATGGAACTAAGAAATATAAACCTGACAGACAAACATAACGGAGACAACAACAAGAACGAACCTTGTCAGTCACACTAATAGACAGGTCAGTAAGAAACTGCAATGAAACCTGGACCTTGCAACAGATAAGAATGCAAACCTGAGGGTCTCAGAGGAGAGGTGCTCAAAAGAATCACAGAAACTGCAGGAGGAACATGCAGGGGAGGAAAGGCCAGAAAGGGGAGTAGAAAAAAGGGCCAGAAGGGCCAGGCCAGTCTCTGAGAGTCTGTGAACATGCATTTACTCATGAATTTGGAGTGTGTGAGTGTGCTTTCGTCAGTGAATTTCAATCCTTACCAGCCAAAGAGGAGGAAGGGATCATGACTGACTGCACTTATGTTCTATGCAAGTCATGTACGTGGGTGCTGAGGGGAGCAAGTGTGGCTGGTCACATCAGTGTCCTCTGTGTGTGTGTGGGTGCCTGAGTTTCATGCTCAGCTTTGCTTCTGGTTGAGCCAAATAGCCACACCCATCAGCCTGAGCCA